TATTTTTGTTTTTGTAAAATTAAACTTTTTAAAAATTATATGCATATTTACTTTAATTATGTTTTTTTTTTTTAGCCAAAATTAACAAAAAAGAACTAATTTCTATCATGTACATCGATATTCTTATCGAAATCTTACAAAGTAAGACTTGTAAGTAAACTTGTAAGTAAATCTTGTTTACTTGTAAGTAAATCTTACAAGTAAGTAAACTATGCCTTTTTTTATTTTGATATATAAATTAGGTCAAAAAGCACCAGTTAAGTCTTCAAAGTAGGTTAGTTTACTTTGATTGGTTTTCCATTAGTCTCACAACTAACAGAATCGAGGTATTAATATTAAAGGCTTCGAGGTTGCCTCCTTAAAATAATAATTTCTTAAAAGTGCATAACCGTGCACTTTCTAATTCACTCATTTTAAGAATAATAAAAAATCTACAACATTAAGTGCTATTCTTTGCTGGACTCGGCTGGACGTAGTTTAAATTTCTCTTAAAAATGAGATTAAATTTAAAAAATGAGTTCGTTCGACTACTGGCATTTTCACTCTATTAAAAAGGCAATAGGAGTTTTTATGAACATTTAAGATAATACAAGCCTCACTGATAAGTATTAATTACAAAACATAAAAATGTTGTTCATTAATATATCCTTTTTTTGGTTTTAAAATTGTCCTCAAAATCGAATATTTCAAGGGCCTGTAAGCATCAATAGCAACAACAGTTTTCAGTTGTTTCAGTTGTAAATTTCCTGGTATGCGATATTAAAAAACTGATCTATTCTAAATTCTTTCAATTCTTTGACTTTCAATAAATTGATTTTGACCAGAAAAAGTGGTCGAATTTCCTAAAGTGCAAAGTTCACCGCCATTTAATATTCAAGGCCCGGAGAAGGAAGCCAACCAGTCAGCCAAACGGGTTAAATGCAATGTTTTATGCAACAAATTCAATTTCGATGTCACGTCAACGTCAGCAGGGGAGTGTTCTATTTAATCTTTATGGAAGACTCAGCTCCCTTCTTTTCCATCCCAAGGATCTGGGCATCCTGGGATAAATAAATGAAGGATTTATTGTGCTTTTCATTACTAAGCTGGGCGAAAATTCATTGGCACATATTTCCGCACCAACAGATGTCCCTGCCGATGGGAAAGCTTTTGGAAAACTAATCGATAGCACGTGACGCTTAAAGGTGAACGACTGTGACACTCTGGGTTGAACGCACAGATAAGACAGAGGGGGGCGCCCGGCAACAGAACGACAACGAGGACGTCACACGAATTGACTTTTTAAGTAGGCAACAATGTGGCTACAGCTGACGAAGGACGAAGGACCAAAGACGACGGCAGTCGGGCTGCGGCAAACCCAGTATAATAATAATGGAGCGCAATAAAAAACTGTGGGTGAAACGGAACCATTACCATTTTCCAAAAGCCCCACAGCCCAACCTCCCAACCTCCCAGCCGCCCAGCCGCCCACAATCCTCCCTTTTTCAAAGACGCTCTACATTTTCATATCAATTTCAAGAGAGTGTGTGTGTGTGAGTGGGTGGTTTGTATTCCTATGTGTTTGTGGGCCTGTCATCGGGAAATGACGGCATTACGGCATTTACAGCTAATGCCTTTATGTCCTCAAGGATTTGGCCTGACATGCGGTTGGTTGGCCTGCCCCCGGGGGAACCAAATTCTTTTGCATAATATTTGATTTTGTTGGGCCCGGGAAGTCAACTATATGGCGGCAGATTGTTAATTTGCCAAAAAGTAGTTTATTTGAATTCCTTTAAATGATTTTGGGATTCAGGAAAGAAAGGGAAATGAAACAAAAGGACCATTTTAAAGAGGAAGGAACTTTAAAAGTAAAAAATTTATAGAAACGTAATTTTGTTTCAAGATTTTATGTTATTTTTAAATCTATTTATGTCGGAGATGTTTTCTTTTTAAAAAGAACGTAAATTATAGGCTTCATTCTAAAAATAATGTATATTAGTTTTGAATAATTAGCCCCAGGATATGAATTTTTAAAACATTTGAAAATTAAACTTTAAATTTCACAATAACTAGGTCAAATTTAAAAAAAATCAAATATAAAGAATTCTATTTTCTATTTTACATTCAAAGTTCAAGATTCTATTTTAATTTTGCTATTTAAAGCACATTTCCCCTAAAAAAATAAAGTATATCCTAAACTCTATAGTTTAAAGTTTAGTTGTGAACTATATGGAATGTGTGCTTTGTATTAACAAGCCCCAGGATAAGCATTTTAAACCATAATAAGCATAATTTAAATTTTGACGGCATTCCAGACCATGATTTTATATTATTTTAGAGACTTTCTATGTCAGCACGTATTTTGTCCAAAAAGCACATAAATCATAGGCGTCATTCTTTGAATACTTTATAGTTTAGTTGTGAAATTTACCATATAGAATGTGTGTTTCGTATTAATTATCCTCAGGATATACATTTTAAGCCACTTTAAAGAGTGAGAATCCTTAAATATCTCAATAATTAAGCAAACATTAAATCTATAATATTTCATATCCAGTATTTTTTCTTTTAAGATTTTATATAATATGTATTATAAACTTTCTATGTCTAGCACGTTTTCTGTCCAAAAACAACATAAATCATAGCCGTCATTCTCTGAATACTTTGCAGTTTAGTTGTGAAATTCGTAGAAGTGGAATTTGTGCTTTTATTTATTAGCCCCAGGATATGCATTTTAATTTGGAGTACGATTTATCAGAGCTTCGCATATTGCAGAACAATAATCCTCGCCTTCGAAACTATTTCCATTTCCATCTTAACGCACACATGTCCACACACTGTACATAATAACAGTCAGGGTTTCAGGTTCGTGTTGCCATCTTTCGGGCGTATGCAAAGCCGCAATATCCAATTAAGTATTCATTTAGTTTTGTCAACTTCAACAATGGAAATTCATGGCTCGAGTGCAGATAGAAACCCATCGCACCATCACAAACAGCAACAACCCACCCACCACAACACATGACCTGCTTTCGCCCCCAAAAAGCAAACTAGAAAATTACATTTTCATGTCATACAACGGCACACCACGAATCCCTCAGATACCCTCGCACACACACATCAGATACCGTATCGCTTGTCAGCCCAGAATTGGTAACTGGCGGCACTTCACTGCTGTTTTGCCTTTTCCACCGGCCATGATATATTCCGATATTTTTTCGATTTCCACTTCAGGTGTTCCCCCAACGCTACCGGGGATGCTAGGGCCATAAATCGCTCTATCCTACAGAAGAGTCTTTGCCTGTCCAACAGGACTAAGTGTGAAAAATGGGAATAGTGCTAAGGATTTTCCTTAAAAATATGCAGATTCTGGGGAGAAATTGGCGGACAATGACTCACCGCTTGAGGTGCCAGCGGGCTTATCATCCCATCTTATCAACAGCCCCAACTGTTGCTCTTTGTCGGGCGGATAATACAAACTAATCCAGTCACTGACTCTTAAAGTACGTCTCATAAAGCCGTAATTGTATAGAAATTCCCAGCATTATTGCAGCTTCAATGCTGACTTTATTTTATTTTATTTATTTTCTGTTGCTCTGTGAAGGTTGCTTGACCCCGGGGGAAACTTTTGCGATGTTGTGGTTGTTGTTTGCCGGACGACGGGTTCATGAACTCGTCGCCGAAAAGCAAACTTTGACTTTTTATGGCCAAACGAAGGCAAATTCGTACAAAGTTTTATGGTTGTTGCTGGAGCTGCCTTTGGGGGGGACTTTAAAGCGCTACACGTTGTGTTTATCAAGTCGATGGCGCGCCAACACAACTCAGACAGATGTCCTGGCATAATTTTCAGGCTGGCAGGTTTATGTCGTTCCAGCAACACTTTCTAGTGTGCTTCTGTCTAAATGCACTTGGAGAAATAAATCCTAAAATAAAACCAGTTAAAAGTAGCAATATTCTTCAAATACTTAAAAGATATTAATATTTTCCAAGTGCCTCTGATGACGCTTCAGTACCCTCGAGACTCTAGACTCGGGTTAAACATGGCTTTAATAATTGACGACCTGCCAGTGGGCTACCATTTGGAGCGAGACAATGACAGGATATTCAGGATATTAGCTAATGCTGCAAATGCATCCTGGCAACTGGCAACTGGTATTCAAGCGACAATTTCATGCCAGCTGCGCACACACAACAAATGCGCAACAATAACAATTAAAATCGGAAACTGCAGCAGCCATCCATCCAATGGCCGGGGGAGTGCAGTTGCCGGGCGTTCTGTTTCAGTGGTTGTTCTCCGGTTCAACCTTGGCCTCGCCACACGCCCCTGACATCCTGCCTGCCCTGCCGGCTGTCGGGTCCTCGACTCCGCATTGGAGACCATAATTATCCAATTGAACAATAAACAGATGCCTGCCAGGCTTGAGTCAATAGACAATGGCAGCCGACCAGGTCGCACTGAGGAGACACTGAGCCTGCCCAGCTGGCAGCCTTTCAAACGATTGTCTCTGATGTTGTTGTGGTTGCTGTTGCTGTTGCAGTTGCAGTTGCAGGAGTTTTTGCAGCATTTGCTGTTTTGCGGTTATTGCGGCATCGTCGATGGGTTTTGTGCAACTGTTGCCCCAGGCAGGTTGCTAGTGATGAGTTGGAGAAGCACTTTCAGTGGCTAGTTTTTCTAATAATATCCAACCAACTAACTAGTAGTTCTTACTTCTCTCTGATATTTAATATTTAAATCACTTGGCATCTCACATCTCTAGGGGCTGATGAACCCCAGCTATGTATTCTAATTTATTATGGGGGCCGGCAGTGGGGAGCTGGACTCGGGATGCAGCCTCTCGGGCCAGTCACGTGGAATAATGTGCCAAAAACGTTTAGGATGGCAGGACAATTGGCAAACGGCAGCAGTCGACTGGGCACGGGTCAGTGACTGACTGACGGCAAGAGCCCTTTGTCTGGCCAAATGGTTATTTAATGAATATTTATTAACACTAACTAATTTCGGTTTCTGTTCTGGTTCTCAGGTGACTGACGACAATGTGCAGACGGTCGCTGGCTGAAGTCGCTGGCAGGAGACAGCAGTTGCAGCAGCTGTGAACGTGGCTGTGGCAGATACTTTTTATATTGACCAACACGACATGCGTTTTTGCAGCTCGGCCAACCACGCTGGCAGATGAATTGAATGGCAAATGCCCTCCAAACCTTAAGGCCGGGGCCCAACAAACTTGACTGATAGCTTAAACTACTTACTAGACCCAACACACCAACCAAGCAAACAATTTTTGTAATTATTGCTAAGAGACTTTTGCAAGGAATTCGTCATATGCCAAATATGTGTTGCACCAACTGAAGCTGAATATATAGACACCATTACTTACCGCCACAAGCATCATTGAAGCACATCACTCGCCAGCCAACCTCAAGGAGCACGCTCGCAGCTGAGACACGGAGTGAACTGAGAAAGCCATGGGCAACCAATGCTGCAGCAAGCGTCAGGATCAGGAATTGGCACTGGCCTATCCCACTGGGGGCTACAAGAAATCCGACTACACCTTCGGCCAGACGCACATCAACAGCTCTGGCGGCGGCGGCAACATGGGCGGCGTACTCGGCCAGAAGCACAACAACGGGGGCTCCCTGGACTCGCGCTACACCCCGGATCCCAATCACCGGGGTCCTCTGAAAATCGGCGGAAAGGGCGGCGTTGACATCATCAGACCGCGCACCACACCAAGTGAGTATTGGAGTAATTTTAGTCTCCCAACTAATTTCGATACAAGTTTTGCATTATCATGAATTAGTAATTACAGAGTACACTGAGAGTAATAGGTCATTAAGGCGGTTATTGTTGGGTTTATTATTAAACTTTAATTTCTTGGAAAAATATTCAGAAAATATAAAAAACGATGTATGTATACTCTTTAAGGACTTGCCTCCACTTTGGGTTATTAACTATTCAAATTAGAAAAGTACAACTTTGGGATATTGGGAGGGGTTCTACCTTGTTTGTCCCAAAACCTGAGGTTCTTTTCTGGAATTTTTTTCTTGGATGGTATGATAGGTACGAGTATGAAATTCCAGCCAGTTATACATTTTAAGTACAGTTTGTTAAATCTGCACAATTTTTTTGAGGGCAGTCACAGAGTCTGTAAAAAAAAATCGGATTCGAAAAGACAAATATGTTCTTAATCTGTAATTTTTTGCGCAGCCTTGGCACCAAAATGAAAAAAAAAGATTAAAAATGAAAAAATGATAAGCATTTGAAATAAAAAATTGATTTTTTTCTGTTTTTAATTTCTTATTATTTTTTTAAATACAATATTTTCCGACAATTCTGGTAGAACTAATGCACATACTTCTGGTTAACATTTGAGGAAATTTTCATGACGATTGCTCTATTTTTGCGAATTAAACTTTAAAATCTTTTATTAAAATATCCCGAAAATATAGCCACTTAGCTAATTATAACTAGAAAATTATAACTTTCGGACTTAAGCAAGCATAATATACACTAAGAATAATAGGACATTATGGAGGATTATGAATTATGGATTAAACTCATAGATTATGGGTTAAACTTTAATACTTTGAAAATAAATCATTCCGTAAATATAGATAACTATATAACTAAACTAATTCGAAAAGTATAACTTTCGGATATTAAACAGTGTATGTAATACATACATATGTATGTATAAGCACAATATACACTAAAATTGATAGGTCATTAGGAGGGTTGTTTAGTTACTTTAATTAAACTTTAATATCTCAAAAATAAAATATCCCGAGAATATAGCAAATAAACTAATTCCAATCAGGAAAGTATAACTTTCGGATATTAAACAGTGTATGCACAAGCATTATCATGCATTCGTAATTAGATGTTGGCCGTAATTCTCTTGGGCCGGCGGAGGGTGGGGGGATAATTTCAGCTTTTAATTAGCAATTTGACTTTTTGCCTGCCGCAAAGATTGGCTTTCACTCCAGGTTGGCTTGGCTGGCCTTCTGTTTGCATAACGTGGCAGCCAGGCAACGGCAGCCAGCCAACTAGCTGGCTAACGTGGCGTACCTGCTGCCATAATTAGAGTTCGCCTCCCAGGAGGTTCAGAGGTGGAGTCGAGCTATTTGCCAGGTGGCAGCGCAATTCTCATATTTGCAGTGGTAATACGATGACAGTCGTTAACCTTGACCAGTTCCGTGATGCGTGCCCCCAGAAGCCGGGCGTAAGTGTCGGGTTAGTGCCGCCCTGAATGGAATATTGCATACGATATTACGTGGCAGCGGGTCTCACCTTATGAGTTGGCCTTATGAGACCCCCAGGAGTTGCCAATCTATGGATGAAGCTATTTAGCCCAGTTGCTGTCACAGTTCTTTAGCATTGAAATGGACAGCTGAATTATTTTGATCCCGCCTGTCACTAGTTGGCATTTGAGGCCTCGCTGGCAGCCGATTAACTGCCGCTATTTCTATCCATGACATGACAGTGCCACATACCACATACCATACATACGGGCCTGCCAGTAAAGCCGCTTAGGTCGTGTAAACCCTCAAAAGGTTGAGTGCTTGGCCAGTGATTTGTGCCGCCTTGTCGCCACTAGAGCCTGATATCTCAATGGAGGGCTAATGGAGGGCAGTGAGCGGCCAAGGCGACTGGCAAGCCAAGTACAGAGTACAGAGCCAGTTTATTTATGCGTTGCCTCGCTGTGGGCTAAATCAATTAGCCAAATGCAAGTCAGTGCCAAAAATTGTGGCTTGGCACCAGCACTATAAAAATTGTTTTGTTTATGCCCGCTCTGATATATGGCCTCCCTGAAAAGTATGCTATCCAATTTGCATTTGGCACTCATCCCCTCTGTCCTCCTACCCTCCTCTCATTAAACTCTAATTAAATTTCGGTGCAATTCGGGCGAAAAGATAGGAAAATGCCGGCAGAGGAAAGGAAAAAATAATATTTCCCAATTTGTCGCCATAAATTACAATTTAGGGACGCAAATCAAATTTTGCGACCCAGCCAGACGAAAATTGCCACTAACTCGACATCATTCCCCCTCCACTATTCCAGCCGGCGTGCCTGGTGTGATGCCCAAGCGAGTGGTGGTGGCCCTCTACGACTACAAGTCCCGCGACGAGTCCGATCTGAGCTTTATGAAGGGCGACCGCATGGAGGTCATCGACGACACCGAGTCCGATTGGTGGCGCGTCGTGAATCTGAGCACCCGCCAGGAGGGTCTCATCCCGCTCAACTTTGTGGCCGAGGAGCGCAGCGTCAACAGCGAAGAGTAAGTATCGCTTTCGAGTGGAATATATACATTATTTAAATTTATATTTTCCCCATAGCTGGTTCTTTGAGAACGTGCTGCGCAAGGAGGCCGACAAGCTTCTACTGGCCGAGGAGAACCCACGTGGCACTTTCCTGGTGCGACCCTCGGAGCACAATCCCAATGGCTACTCGCTGTCAGTGAAGGATTGGGAAGACGGACGTGGGTATCATGTGAAGCATTATCGCATCAAGCCGCTGGACAACGGTGGCTACTACATTGCCACCAATCAGACCTTCCCCTCGCTCCAGGCTCTGGTCATGGCCTACAGCAGTAAGTCCTCCAAAAAATATAAGAAATATGAAACATGAAGATAATTTATTACTTCGCTGCTACCCACAGAAAACGCTCTCGGCCTGTGCCACATACTGTCGCGTCCCTGCCCCAAGCCACAGCCCCAGATGTGGGATCTGGGACCGGAGCTGCGTGACAAGTACGAGATTCCGCGCTCGGAGATTCAGCTGCTGCGGAAGTTGGGTCGCGGCAACTTCGGCGAGGTGTTCTACGGAAAGTGGCGCAACAGCATCGATGTGGCCGTTAAGACTCTGCGCGAGGGCACCATGTCCACGGCTGCCTTCCTCCAGGAGGCGGCCATCATGAAGAAGTTCCGCCACAACCGCCTGGTAGCTCTTTACGCAGTCTGCTCTCAGGTTAGTGTCACTTTTTTAATTTATTTATTTATTTATTTCAATATTAGCTATAATACATAAATCGAATTTACAATATAATAACTAATTTAGAGGGAAGAGTAACTAGCTACTATGGCCATCGACTCGACAATTGATAACAGTTTGTTTACATTTGTATTTGAGATTTAACATTTAAAGAAATGGATATTAGATAATTAAAAGGGGAGTTTAAATTAGGTGTGTAATTTTACAATTTCGTAGGAAAGATAATAATAGTTTGGAGTTGGCAGCTGTGAGGTCAGATAATAGATTTGATGGCGGGGTGAGACCGAATAGGTGTGTTCTGCTGTTTTGGTAGTGACCACAGGTATCCAGTAGATGTTTTACTGATAGTTCTTCTCCGCAATTAGGGCAGTTTGGCCGAGTTTCCCCATTAAGGATGTGCTTATGCGTGAGATTTGTGTGTCCGGTTTTTAATCGTGTGAGAATGGCGCATTCCCTTCCGTTAAGCGACGTAGGGAACTTGATGTCTTTCTTGTCAGGGTTAGATTGTTTATACCAGTGGTTAAACGACGACCAGTCTTCCAGTTCGATGTCCCGCAAAATGTTTTTGATGTTTTTCCAGATGTCCTGTTGTACTCCAGGTATGATTGTAAGGCACGGAGCCCGTCCGGCTAATTTTGCAGCATTGTCGGCCATCTCGTTCCCAGTTATTCCTATATGGGCCGGGACCCATAACAGTTGAATTTTGCTAATGTTTTTTATGCAGAGGTGACGAATTTCGGATAAAAGGTTATTGTTATTGTAGAAGTTTTGTACTCCTTGCAGGGTGGACAGACTATCACTGCAGATGACATAACTTCCTTTAAGTTCGAGAGCAAATTTAATTGCCTTAACAATAGCTACTGCTTCCGCAGCGAAAACTGAGAAGTGGTGAGGTAGTCGACCCCAAGAGACAATTAATCCGTGTTGGTCAACCACTGCAAAGGTGGTGGTGGCATCGGACTTTGAACCATCGGTGTAAAGCCATTTCCTATCGGAGTATTTATGGGTAACTTCTTCGAATAGCTGCTTAAACGTTGTGATAGGGGTCTTTGATTTTTGAAAATCATGAAGTGTAGTGTCAATGGCGGTGGAGCGTATTTTCCACGGAGGGATGGAATGACTTTGTTCCAACGATAAGGCGATCCTATGTTGTGTCTCTTGGTAAAGGTTATACATCTTCGAATCGTAGATTGGACTTTGAATTTCCTACGGTGCTTTGAGGCAACTTTATAGTCCTTCAGCAGAATAGAGTTGGTTGAGCACATGAGTTTTGGTATTAATTTAAAGGTAGTTTGCGTGACTCGGGTTATAATGTCCGGCAAACCTGCTTCTGCTAGGATGCATTTAGTTGGGGTCGTTGGAAATGCGCCAATACTACGCCTGACGGCCGCATGGTAAGGAGGTAAGATTTTCTTAAGTGCGATGGCGCGCACCAGCCGTAGATGGGGAGTCCATAATCAATAATGGACAACAACAGAGCTCTTGTCGCTTGTATAAGTGTGGTCCGGTGGATGAGAGATCGCTTAGATGTTAAGAATTTTATAATGTTAAGTCTCTTAATAAGTTTCTTCCTAAGTTCGCTACAGTGTTGTTTAAATGTGAGTCGTTTATCAAATGTCAGGCCAAGTATTTTAAGAAAAGAAACGCGTTCTATATCTATGTCATTGTGCGATAATGGTGGGTATGTACAGCGCTTTTTTTACAAATATGAAAAACTTTACATTTATTTACAGCAAGAGTCGCACCGGAGGTGTTACCCCAGATTTGGATTTCATTAAGGACTTCTTTAAACTTATTATTTAGTGCAGTAGTATTCTTACATTTGCTAAAAATTATGGCATCGTCTGCATAAATTGCCAGTTTAATTTGCTTATGTCTTAAAATTATGTTGTTTAAGGACTGGAAGGCGATCATGAACAATACCACAGAGAGGGCGATCCTTGTGGGATCCCATTGTGGAGAGTGTAGAATTTAGATAGAGTGTTGTTAACTCTTACTCGGATAGAACGGTTGATCATGAAGGCCTTCGCTAAGTTGAAGGTCTTTGACCTACCCCCACCGTGAAAGTTGATCCAGTACTGTATGCACCCCTACGCGATCGAAAGCCCTTTCAAAATCAGTTGCCAATATGGTAACGTGATTTTTGGTAGAAAGGGCATCCGATGCGTAATGGTGGAGATGCAGGAGGGAATCAATAGTGCTATGCTGTTGCTTAAAAGCCGTTTGGTGGGGGCTGATAAGTTTATGTTTCGTAACGAACCACATTAACCTTTTGGCAAGCATTTTTCTAAGGTCTTGCTTAAACATGGGAGTAAAGAAATAGGTCTAAATGATGTTATTTCATGTGTTGGTTTGTTAGGTTTTAGGATAGGGATAATTACGGCGGATTTCCACACATGAGGGTAGGTACCCCTAGCGAGCATAGCGTTATACATCTCTAATAGGCGGTGTTTGGCCTCGGAGGGCAACTGTTTCAGCATTGGGTATGAAATTCGGTCTATACCGGGTGTTTTTCCTTTCGCATGCTGAAGTGCATATTCAAGCTCACTAAGGGAAAAATTTGAGTCAAGGTCTGTAGAGGCGGACGACAACTTGGTGGGTGTGTATTCCTGAGAAAGAATTACTTCTTTACGGGCCTTGTATTGGTTGGAGAAATTGCCGTCCTTAGAGTAGTCCGACCAAAAGTTCCCAAATGCATCGGCAATGTCTACGGAGTGGTGGAGGTTCTCGTTGTTGTATTTTATTGTCCTGAGGTTACTTGGAAAATTACCTATCAAGCGATTTAGGTCAGCCCAAGTTTTCTTGGTCGATGATAGAGGCGTTATATTAGAGGTGAATCTTTCATAGGATTCCCGTTTTGCTTTTTTGAATTGTACTTGAAAAGAGCGTTGGCTTTTCTGTAAGAAATTAGAGCAGCGGTGCTCTGAGTTTGTTTGTATGCGTGCCAAAGAGATTGCTTTGTTGTCTTAAATCCTGCAGAGCTTTGCTCCACCAAGGAACATTTCTCTGATGTAGAGAGGGTTTGGTTTGAGGGATTGCTAAATTGGCTGAGGCTTTGATTCCTTTTATTATTTTGGCGGCAAACAGATTTAAGTCGTGAGTTGTAGGAAATTGAAGTTATCTCTGCATTTGGCACGATACAGATCCCAATTGGCTTTATCTAATATGAATTTAGGGATGGCGGTATGTTTATGGGATTAGTTCGAAATTGAATCTTTGTTTTTAAAGGATAGTGATCGCTTCCGTAAAGAGAGTCTAGTACGGACCACTTACAGAAAGGGAACAACGATGCGGAAGCTAATGTTAGATCAATAGCCGTGAAGGAGTTGTGAGTGGAATGATGGGTAGGGAGCCATCATTGAGGAGAGTTAAGGTTGATTTGTTTATGACTTCTTCTATTTGTAACCCTCTAGAGTTATGCAAAGATGATCCCACAATGGACTCCAGGCATTAAAATCACCCACATATAGGATTGGCTTGCTAGAAAGATCTACTATTTTAAGAATTTCGTTGGCTGCTACAAATTGAGATGGAGGTATATATGTATTAAAAATACATATTTTGGGATGGGATAGGAGTTCAATACCTAAAGAGCAAGTATTACTGTTAATTGGTATGGGCTTGTGGGGAATGTCTTTACGTACAAGTAGGCTAACACCTTGTTTGGCATAGGTATTAGAGCTAAAGTTATAGAAATATCCAATAAATTGCTTGGGGTAAGCAATGTTCGTTAGGTTGGTATTAATATGTGTTTCCTGAAGGCAAATAACATCAGGGTTGCTATCGTTTATCAAAAGTTGTAGCTCATGGTAATTGTTAAAGTAACCATTCATGTTCCATTGTAATAGTGTAATGGACATAAGTAGGAAGAGAGAGGGGTGTTATTTGGTTTGGTTTGGATTGATGGAGCTAGTATGTATCACTCATAGCATCGTCAGATTCGTGGGTATTTAAATTAATATTGTGTGTAGTTGGTTTTTTGGTTTTTGATTTGAAGATGTTGCTCGGCTGTTACTTTCGTACTCAGCGTGGATTTCTTGTAAGTATGCATGTGATGCAGGAGATAAGTTATACTTGTTATGAGCAAGTGAAGTGGATTTCTTTGGCTGATAAGGGTTGTGGGGGTAGGGGACTGGGGGATCGGGGAGGGGAAGAGGTGGGAGAAGGGGGGGGGAAGGGTTTTTTTCGGGGCTTCTTCGGTGGAAGCAATTTTAATTTTGTCGTTTTTGATTTGGTTTGCGTTTTCGCTACGTTGATTTGATGTTTTGGCTACTGAAGAGTATGAAGCGGTATCAACCGAGTTATGTGATGTTGTTTTAAATATTGTTTTGGCCTCACGCATAGTGCATTTTCTAACTGTTTTTATTTTGAGTATTTCTCTTTGTTCTAGGTACTTAGGGCATTGTCGGGAAGAGGCCGAATGCTCCCAGAGCAATTGGCACAACAGATTTTGGTGCATTTACTTGGGGAATGTGGTGGTAGGGCACATTCGGAGCAGAGTGGGGTGTTAACGCATTTTTGGTTGTGTGGCCGAGGAGTTGGCAAGACTTGCATCTCATGGGGTTTGGAATGTACTCGCGGACTTTAACAGAGTGCCAAGAAATATCGATTTTAGATGGAAGGTTATAGAGCTCGAAGGTTATTAGGATAACTCCGCTGGGCTTGGAGACACCATCGTAGGATTTCATAAATTTATAAACTTCCGTAACCTTTGTGCTTTAAGTTCATCGACGATTTCTTTTCGGGGATGTCGCTGAGGTACGGGGCATAGACTGTCCCTTTCACAAAATTGAGTGCCTGGTGGAGCTTACACTGTACTTTGCATATACCGGTGAGCTCGGTAGTATTAATAAACTTAACAGCATCGGCTTGAGATTTAACTAGTATGAGTAAATTTCCGTCTCTGAGGTTCGAAATGGTAATTATGTTTTTGGAGATCATTTTAAGGGCGCGGTGGACGGCGAAGCATGAGAATTGACAAATGGTCTTTTCTGTATTGATGGAAGCGATTGTTATATATCTTGGATTATCAACTGAGGTAGGTGGAAGTTCTGGGAATGCAATATCCAGTTTTTGGGGTTGTCTTCTTTTTTTGATGGTGGGCTGATGGCAAGCGGCGCGAACCGATTGTCGCCCAGGTTTGGAGGCCCTGGGCCCATGATGAGTCTTATTGGTATTTATACGTTAGTTGTTTATTGTAAAGAATGGAATGAAGAATATTTAAAAGCACAATGGAAAAGTAAGAAAGATAAGAACCACGTGGGTCCAAAAAGAACAGTGACCGGTCGAAAAGCTCTGTTTGGAGATAAGAGACGTCCGCTCGCGATGAGAGATAGTCGAAGACTGTCACTTTTTTAATTAATTTCCGTGGTTTCTCACTTTTCTGCTTGATTTTTTGCAGGAGGAGCCCATCTACATTGTGCAGGAGTACATGTCCAAGGGCAGTCTGTTGGACTTTTTGCGCGAAGGCGACGGCCGCTACTTGCACTTCGAGGATCTCATCTACATAGCCACCCAGGTGGCCAGCGGCATGGAGTATCTGGAGTCCAAGCAGCTCATCCACCGCGATTTGGCGGCCCGCAACGTCCTCATTGGCGAGAACAATGTGGCGAAGATTTGTGATTTCGGACTGGCCCGCGTTATTGCCGACGACGAGTACTGCCCGAAGCAAGGCTCCCGGTTTCCGGTGAAGTGGACAGCGCCGGAGGCGATCATCTACGGCAAGTTCTCGATCAAGTCGGACGTCTGGTCCTACGGCATCCTTCTGATGGAGCTGTTCACGTACGGACAAGTGCCCTATCCGGGCATGCACAGCCGCGAGGTGATCGAGAACATCGAGCGCGGATTCCGCATGCCGAAGCCGACAAATCACTACTTCCCGGACAACATCTACCAGCTGCTGCTGCAGTGCTGGGATGCCGTGCCCGAGAAGCGGCCCACGTTCGAGTTCTTGAACCACTACTTCGAGTCCTTCTCGGTCACGTCCGAGGTGCCGTATCGAGAGGTGCAAGACTAAGCCAAGAGTCCAGCCTAATCACAATCACGAACACACCCACACATCACCTTGACACCCTCACTCAGCCACACAACCACACGTCGTACGATATATAAATATAGTATATAAAGTTATACATACATATTATACATTTATATGCATATTTACTATAATTCTTAAGACTTTTTAATGGCATAGTTGCATACCAACAAACCAACCAACCAACCAACACACGTGCATCCACACGAACTCTATATGTATGGTATATGTATGTGTTTAAGCGTATCTAAACAATTCAGAAAAAAAATCTAAAAAAAAAATCAACAAAAAAAAACGTAAATTGGAAGAACTACATTTTATATTTTACACGCAAAACTATTTTATAATTTATATACCTAACTGTATGTACTATGGAAATAGAAAGTATTTAACTAGTTTTGTAAGCTTAACGAGATAACCGATGATGTGGGCGGAGAAAGCTGGCAACTCTATTGAATTTCAAGTCGAATACAGCTACGATTCAACGATACTTTAATCGGTGCTTAGGTTTTATGTATAAACAATCCAATCCACTCTACAACTAGAACTCTTTGATCTTATCCTCCCTTTGCTGAATACCTTCTTCTGATACTTTCCACGAAACCGAACACAAACACACACAGACACCAGAACCACTACCAAGACTATCTACTAAGCCAAGAATTATTTGACTCAATCATCCGAATCGAAAAATCAAAAAAGAGAAAAACCTATAATTGTTGCTAATGAGAAACTCCAATGATGGCATTTACTTATAAGGTGGCGTATCCCTCGTCTCTACTTCCAGGAAATGATCTATCACCCGAATGAGAATATGAATATTGATTTGCCTCGACTAGATGAGGCTAAAAAAGAAAAAAATGAATGAAAAAAAAGAAACGAAAAGAAAAGTATGGAAATTAAATGAAAAGCGAAAATTGCATTTTGTACAAAACCATTATGAAGAGAATTAAGGCATTTCACGTTTCGTTGTTAGCAATTGAACCAATGAATGTTTATAGTACATTTAAGTTTATGCCAAAATTATTGTTTACTTTTGTTCGTACACTGAGGCACAAGCCACACAATTGGGCACTGTCCATGTAGTCTAGATATATCTCTATTGATGTACAACCTGCAGCGTTGGCCCGCATTTAGTTCCTCTCCAGACCTGCTGTTCCTTGCGCGTGCAGCCCAAATCAATAGCCCGACTCAAGCCATACGGATCACTTGCTATCTCAAGGGTTTCAAATGCAAAAATATCAGACGATAAATACATACATATAACGATCAGAATCACACAGTACACACCTATGTATCTCTTAGCTTCTAGACGTCCTATGCGAACAGATCAGATACCACATCGATTGAGGAGACCTTATTTAATTTATTTGAGTTTTGTTATAGTTTTAGTTTGTCGTTTACCAGATTATATAGTACATATAGCATATATTGTGTTGGCCATTGTGTGCACATTCTGTAGCATAAAACCAAAGTTTAGCATTTCGTATTGAGATATATGTATTTGTAAAGAACATTTATACGGCAACTCGAAGCATTTCACACACGTACATCAGTTCATAGGATAACCGACCCAACAAGGCTTGAAAAGTAGCGAGAACGAAAATCCAATCATTGTATGAAATCGCATTCACTTTAACCACAACCGAATCATTGCAAATAATTAATTGAAATATTGTTATAATTCACGGGCAAAACTGAAATTGTTTAGCGTAGTTGATGAATTTTTGTATATAAACTTGACATAACATATAGAATAAAGCTGAAATTAAATTGAAAAGTAATAATACCAAAACTAATTATGGCTAATTTTGCAACAACTGAAACAATGGCGGCAAGTTCAGCGCCGGCAACACGCGAGGCAGCAACCACAAAGAAATGAGAGAAAAATTTCACAAATTTTTATACTAACTGGCAATCAAATTGAAAGATTTACAAAATGTTTCAGCCTTTGCCTGGAGAGTCGTGCTGCATGCGCCGCCGCCGGTTATTGTCTAATAATATAACGAATAACAACGTCGAATGAATAATTATATAGAAATAATAGACGAGGATTGACATGTAATACGGATCATGGCTGATACGCAGATTCACGAAACAAATATGAATGGAAACTGAATTTAGATTATGTAAAATGATAGAAATGTGTCCGTTAAGGCGGTTAGGTGTGTAATGCATATTACAAATAATAATGATAATAAATAATAAAATTGAAAGATATTTAATAACTAAAAAACGAGTGTTTTATTTTAACATATGAGGTGCATCCCCCCTGACAACAAAAGTCCTGTTTTGATTTTGTGTTTTCGCTTTTTTGGATACCAAAAAAGTTGCAGAGATTTTATTATTGTACCTTTCCTGGTTTAATACATGTATGTATATATAATAATGAAATCGTTCCGTTTAAAAATTGTTCAAAGGCAAAATTGTACATAATATGTAATTCGTTATGTTTTGTATATGTATATATAATTAATTCAATAACTCTTTGTTTTTTCGTTTTTTAATTCATGAAGTGCGCTAAAAAGTAAACGTTTCTGTGTTGCAAATGCACTTGAAAGGACTGACGCTAACTCGATTTAGATTAATTTAATTTTGCATTTTTCGTTTAATTCGTTATTTTAAGTGACACCTACTGAGAATGTATGCTATGTATCGGTTTTGGTTCGCTATTCTGACTGAGAAGATCTTCCGAAATGTATATATCCTATGTATGGGGGGCGTATATATGGTATCTCACGTCTCAATGGTATTGGGTAAAACAGTTCTGTACCGCATAATTGCTCTATTTGTTTATTGTATGTACAATAAATTCGTATTACTCTTATTTATTGTTTGGCATTCGCATCTGGACCTACGATCTGATCTGGGGTCACCATCGGTTGGCGCTAAGTAAGGCTCCATGGTAACCATGTGGGTTGAAGTGCTCCTTCTCCTCCAACACCTGTCCAAACAAGTTAATCGAACATATCCTTGCAAGTTCTAGTTGAAACGGAATAACAGTTTGAGTAACTATTCATAATATGAAGGTGTGTGTCTTGTCATCGATTTAAATAGGAATGCGGGGTGTACACTGAATGACCGATCACATTTCATACACAGGCAGACCTACTATTAGTTTTCAGAGTTATCCGAGCGGTCCTATTAAGGACCAATTAATCGTGTACCGTCAACATGTTCTCTAATATACATCGAGGCATAACCAATCACGTTTTATACATATATGTATGCAGAGCTAAGTTTACAGCGATATTTCGAGTCATCCATAATTAACAGGGCAAACACCTTAAAGCTATACATTTACAAAACACTTTCGTCAACACTGTTCTATAAGATAGGCTTCCTTCAACACCGGTTCCTGTTTTCTATTATAAAACTATAAAGTATTTCTAGTATTTTGTAGAAGGACTAGTGGGAGGCTAAAAATTCAATTTCAATGCCTTTTTAACAATTTAATGGTAACTATTAAAAAAAAAGATTGACAATCCAAGGGCCTAGCCAGTTGTTTGTGAAAATACAAAACCAAACCAACCATTTTTGACTATTTCGAATTTCGGAATTTGAGATTTTCAAAACTGGTTGGTTTTAGAATTTTCACCTGCCCGACCCGAGAACACTTTCTATGAGTTTAAATTATTTAAACCTCTATGTGACTTGAATATGTATTTTTGTGTTGAGTAGTTGATTTGAATATGGCCAGTTCTTCATTCCCATGTAAGTATTTTATAAAGAATTGCATCCTCTGGTCGTAAAGCTACAAATATCTAACTCTATCGCCTCGTAAGAAACTAGTCTAAGTTTTATAAAGGACCCTCGGGTATTTTTGGGCCAGCTGCTGGCGAATGCATTTCGAATCGCACTTTTCGGTGTTATGAATTACATTTTTGGTTGCCATTGGTTGTTTGTAAATGACTTTTGAGTAAATGCTGCCACGATATAATTGCTGCCATTCTTGATTTATTTAAACGGCTGGGCAGCTCATCCTTCAGCGGTCTTACATCGCCGATGAGATCTGTTGTTGGTAGAGCTGCGGTTGCATCTGCTGAGGCGGCTGCTGCTGCTGCTGTTGTTGCTGCTGCTGCTGTGGTGGCTGCTGCTGGTATTGCTGTTGCTGGGGCTGCTGCTGCGGGGCGAGTTGCAACGGCGGCGGTGTATTGCCAATTGCTGCCACAGCCGCTGCCGCATTCTGCTGCGTGGTGGCCTCTGTGGTCTTCAGGAAATAAGTTATCAAGTCGATGGGCAGCGGGAACACAATCGTCGAGTTCTTTTCCGCGGATATGGTGTTGAGTGTCTGTCGGGAGTCACAGAAAAAAAACAGCAAACGTTATAAATTATAGATAAGTTGGTAAATCGATTCGGATGTCAGTGACCCACCTGCAAATAGCGCAGTTGGAGGGCGGCCGGCGAATCTCCAATCACCTCGGACGCCTCGCGCAGCGCCCTCGAAGCCTTCTGCTCTCCCTCGGCGGCGATGACTTTGGCGCGTGCCTCACGGGCGGCCTCCGCCTCGGCAGCCATTGCGCGTTGCAGCTGCACCGGCAGGCGCACGTCCTTACTGTTCCGGCGATGAAGAAAACGAGATTAGCGGGTGGTTGGCAGATAGCGGAAATGCTCGTAATTCAAAGCTAAGACCATTTTTACAGCCACAAATCTACTACACTAGGAGAAAAGTCTTCTAACTGGTGAAACAAGGATATTTAGGTTTTTTTGAAGCTAAAACTCTTTTTAGAGTTTTTAAATCATTTTTAAACCAAAGTTAATATTACAAAAGGATGCTGGAGAGAGATTGTGGTCCAAAACCTTTGAATAAAACTTTCCAGACTACATTTTTTTCAGTGCTCTTCTTCTGGGGTTCTAGACTTGTTAAATGGCCGGCTATCAACAGAAATATTTCAAGTTCCATGCTAATGCTCCTCGCGGCAGGACTAAATGGGGCATCTTTAACTCGGATATAATATAGGGAAAGCTTCATTTACCAAAAAAGTAATACATCATCCCCTACTTGTCTTTAATTTAAATTGCAAAATATTACTCAGGAATAACACATCGTATCTCATCTTTTTATTGGGCAATTGAGAAGGTTATAGGTCGGCTGATCGATTTCATAGCACATTCGCAAGATTATGAAGATGCAGTGATGAAAAATTCAACAACCAACAGCCATAAAATGAAACCATTTTATGGGGCAGGCGAAAGGTAGCAGCCGCAGGAATGAACAAAACCACAACAACAGCAGCGCCAGCTTCAGCCGTCAACGCGTCAAGTTGTTGCAGCTGTTTTAACACGGCCAACACCAGCCGGTGCTCCCGTGTTCCTGATGATGATGCTGTTATTGTTGGTATTGTTGGTATTGTTGGTACCTTATTCCCGGCCGTTGGCCGCCATATTGTTGGCCATGTATGAGCATTTGACATGGCAACGTCACAACTTGGCGCAGCCAAACTGAAGCTGACAAAGTAGCCACTTGCCCCCGTGAGCGGCAAATAATAAATTACAACAACGGTGCCTCGGTGACAGCAGACAAAGGGCAGCATCGCACCACCCACAACACCTCCCGTCCGTCATCCCGCGTTATTGTGATAAATGCCCAGAAAAATGGTAGAACAAATAACCAGCCAGCTGGAGTGCTGTGCTGTGGCCTTGCCGGGTCGGAAACTAACCAATTTGGATGTTATATAAAGCTGGGACAAGCTGTAGTCCCACGAGGAGCCCGCAACCTAGAGTTGGTGGGAAATTACTAAATGTGGAACAACTTTTATTCGATTAGATGGTTACATAAATGTGACCCAGCTAGGTGTCCTTACAGGATACCTCCAACGAACTTTTAGATGCAGATTCAGGGGAATCATTTATCAAGTGAATATCTTTGTGGGGCAGGTCCTTACCATTTTTATTTGGTTCTTCGATTTAAATCAAATAGCTTGAACTAGTCTTAAGCTAAGACCCTAAACAGACATCTTATTTCGGTTTTTACAAGGCCCTAAAGTAGGTTTTAAAATTCGAATGCACTTGTTCTTATCTACCCACTCGAAGAAATCACCGTTTAGCTGTAAACCCAAAAAGCTTAGAATGTCCTTTAGAGCATATCAACTTCGACTAGGTGGGGCGAAGCGTTTATAACATTACTTTTATGGCTTGACATAGAAACTTTTCCAGGTTGGCACTGCAAGTGTGTGGCACGGAGCACCAAGTGTGGGGTTGTGGGTTAAAAAAGCTGTGCTACTTACATTTCAACACGTTCAACTTTGATGCCCCAGGCATCGGTGGCTTCGTCGAGTTGAACCTGTTTATGATTGGACGCCAGGTGGGTTTTCCAGGGGCCGTTGGTGATGGTGATGTCGGTGGATTGGTGGGTTTTGTAGAGTCGTTGGCGGTGGATGAGCCGTATGAGAAATAGCAGTAGAACTACATTAGTTTTTGTTTACACGCGTTTTCAGGTCGTTAACAGTTTTGTTTTGGTTTCTTTTTTTTGCTTTTTTAGTTGCACCTTCGGTCGCCCCTCCCTGCCTAGTCGGTTTTTTGTAGCCCACATTGTTTGTGGGTCGTACAGCATCCTTGAAATGAAAAACTAAAAATGCAGCACTTGGCACCGACAAGAGCGGAGCGAAAGGAGCTGAAAACTCTTGCAACTTGGCATTTTGCACATGCTCGCTTCGACGTGCCGCACTGATGCTCCTCGAGATTTTCGCCTGATTTTGAACTATTTTTCATATGGCATGAAAAATAAATAAATAAAACTACCCGTTGCCAGGCAGGCCATGGAATTTGGGTTAAGTTGGCAGCTGCTAAGATATGCGGTGGCTGGCTGACTGCCTTCCTCCCCACTGCATTTTCAATTTGCAACGATGAAAAAGCGCTTTGGCTCCGAGATTATTCTCATGCCAGGCACGGTCGCCGCCGACAGACACCGCCTTTGGCAGCTGCTAAATTTCGCAATTAATATTACGCTGTCGGAGTTTTACCGCAAAACTTTAAGCTTTATGCTGCATAATTAGGAGCAGTAAGCACCAGCTTAAATGTCATCTGTCAGCGGACGGAACTGGAAAGTAGCTGGGTGGCTGCATTTATTCTGCCATGTCTTTCCCACTGGCGGTACACGGTGGGGAAATAATTTGATTTACATTTTAAATATAATTATAAATGGCTGTGAGGATATTCAATGAGATTACGTTGATTTTTATACAATTAGCCAATCTTTCTATTTTAAATTTAAATATTTTATTTAATTAAAAGCCATAAAATATGATAAATCCTGAAGTCTAGCTGGTAGTTCCCGCTCTTTCTTGATAATATTTTTTCCCATGTATTTGCATACAAGTTCTTTTTGTTTGCCGGGTAACTAAGTAAATTAGAGGAAGCAGCTCGATGGAGTCGCGTCTCTAGAGAGCCTCGAGCTCGTCGGCGGTCCGGGCCGACTGGCAACTGTCAACTGGTTTGAACTCACCTGCATTGTGCCGGAAATCGTCATACGCTCGCTGAGTATCTCATGCAAATGCCGAGTTCCCATTGTGTTTCGTAGAGTAGTCTGTGCCAGTAGCCTGGTCGAATGGTGAGCATTCTCCACGTTCGCTATAGAGACCGTTGCATTTGATACGCGATAGTAAACCACTGCATCCACCGAAACCGTAACGCTATCCTTTGTGAGAACCTACAAGATGCAGTGGGTTTTCGTTTTTTTTCATATTTTCTTGTTTGTATTTTTGTTTTGGTTTGGGGACATTGCTTTTTTGCTTGCTTTCTCTATTGTTCCTGCTATTGTTGTAGTTGGTCTGTAGTTATTTTTATTATTCGCTTGTTATTGTTGCCAAACAAACACATTCACAGACGCTAGGATATATATGTGCGTATATATACAAATAGACGCGCTTTGAAATTTGCAATTCGTACACGAGTATACATATATACACATGTGGGTGGAAGGCTACTATGGTGATAAGCTAAACATTTTGTATCTGTATCTGTATCTTTATCTGTATCTGTATCTGTGGCTGGCCACTTCATAGCCGGGAGGGCGGCATAATGCGAATGCACTTGACTTGAACATCGCTGGCTTCTTGGCCGGGTCGCTCGCTTTTTTCGCTTCTCCCTCTAATAGAACTAAGTGCAGGGAGTGCAAAACTTTTGCCTCAGACCTGGGACAGACAATGCCGAAAGACACTCACTCACATACACTGACAAAAACACACACACATACACAAAGGCAGTGCTTCCATTTTGATTATTGCATCTGTGACTGTGTCGGTGCTTTGCATTTTGCATTTAGCATGTGCGTCTGTATTCGTATCTGTATCTGTATCTGGACGCGTATCTTTGTGCGCATCCCAAAAGTCCCAAAGTCTTTTCACATTGTTTTGCATTCAGCGAACTTTATCCGGCGGCAGCTGCAGTCGCAGCGACAGCGAGAGTTATCCTAGCAATTTGCAGACACAAGTTTTATGTGCTCGAGTGGTATTCGATTATCTGCTATAGAGCGATACGTGGGGCAAACCCAAGAGTTACAGCGGTTACAGTGTATAAGTTATTGTACAGAGAGTGGCTGAGTGCTGGACTGGCACAAATTATACAAGTTAACGAGTGTAAGAGGCGCAAATCATAAGCCGAAAAGTAGAAAATCAAAAGCGAAACAAACTGAACAACCAAAGGCATTAAATCGTTTGTAGAAAATGTCTTAAATTCTATCAAAGAGTGGGGGTAGAAGGGGTAAATGTGACGGGGTCGTGGGCAGATTATGTACATTTTTTGGGGTTTTTTCTGGGTGCTGTGGGTGCCGGGCCAGGACCTGGTTTCGTTGCTTTCATCCATCCACTGCATAAGTTTACTGGCCCTGCCCAAATCGAATTCTCAAAAATTGTATTTTTCTTTTCCTCTCCTCGACATAAGTTGGCTTAACTTATGCCAAACTATCATCCCGCATACACAGGCTCCTGTTCGGTGGCAGAAAGTTTTTCCTTCTCACAGAGGGAAACGCTTTTCGTTTTATGACCTGCCCAAACATTGTTCGGCGTAGTCTAGACCGCTTTTTACGGCCCCTACAAAGCTGAAGCTGTGGTGTCAATGTTGTTTAGTGTCATCGTTTCCACTCGGGCAGTTTCGAGGGTCTGCCCTTTTCGTGGGCGAACTTTGGGCTTGGCAAATCTCTGGCATTTTAGCATGAGAATCAACTGAAATGTGAGCAGTCCTGAAAGATTGGGACACAAGTGTTTTTATTTGCAAAGCCGGTCTTGAATTTAAATTTGGGAAAGCTTTCTTGCATTTATTTTGTGGGAAAGAAACATTCCAGAAATTTTAGCATACTTTTTGGGGCTTATGCAGAAATCTTAAATTCTTGGACAACGGTGCGTATGAGTAACATTAGTAAAGGCATTTATTATACAAACTAGTTCCAAGAGCTTATTTGTGGCTTTTTTTTGGGAATTTTGTATGCATCTTACACTTTTGTATGCCAACCTTGCGTATACGTAATATTTATAACTGAACTGCTAAGTCCAACACTGCGTATGCGTGATATTTCAATGATAATATGTTTGAGTCTCTCAAAGCAAGAAATATCCGTCCATGGGATTATTATTTGCCTCGAATTTATTATGATAATAAATTGTGAATATTTAAAATTCCTTCCTTGAGAATTCTCATACAAAATAAGTGGCATACAGGCATCGGCTTGCACTACCATCCATTGACGACTTGTTCAATTTAGCCAAAACAAATAATCGACAAATTCAATTGAGCATTGTGTGCGCATTCCATGGAATTGCATCAAGGCTCTACGGCTGGCATACCTTCACAGCGGATAATCATGCTCGATTCACTTCATTATGAATGCCTGCTGCTGCCTGTCTATGGACAAAAAGCTCTAAATCAATTTGGCTAGAACAATGGCTTATTATTTCGAACAATAGTCGGGTGGTTCGGGTGGTTGGTTTGGTTGGGTGGTTGGGCGGCAGTGCATGTGAGTGTATCTGTGTAGCTGGGTGGTTCAGTGGCTCAGTGGTGGAGTGGAGATGGAGTGAAGTGGGTTGGATAAGTTGTTTTCTGGCTTGTACATTGCATTTTATAGTTTGAATCGAGAGGAATAGTACGATATGGGCATGGCAACGGGGCATGGAAAAAATATAAATGTTCAGGATCCAATGATGAAATCATAGAAATGAGAGCAGAAAGAGAGAGGGTAGAGAGGGTGGTAGAGAAGGACAGAGGGATTTGAATGAAAATGAAAATTTGAAACGATAGTTCATACACAGTAGTTTATACACTGTAACACCTAAACTAATGAGTTTTCAATAAACATAATTAGATTATTTATTACAATTTGCACAGTTTCTGCTGCTGGGTTTTGGTCAGCACTTGACATGACTTTCGGTTAATTCGATTTTCAATGGGATTCAACTGAAAATATTTATCTTTGTTTCAGCTACCGACTACGGCCGAGTGATAGAGATAGCAACAGAGACAGAGAGTGAGACAGAGAAGTATAGAGAGTTAGTTTTGTGAAAGAGACAGAGTCAGAGTGGGGCAGCCCTTGCTCCTCTGCTATGGTTCTGTTCAGCTATAGCTCCAAACTTTATCACTAAATTATTGTCTATGGCTTAGTCTAGGGGCAACTACTGAGATGCTGATGCTGTGATGCTGGGGATTATTTCTAGCGCTAGCACTTGCTTTTAGTTTACTCTAGCTACTTTAATGTTACAGTTACAGTTGCGATTCTAACGCGGTATATTATTTGGCGGGCGGGCGGCGGCTTTAAAGTTATATATATTTTTTTTGGTTTTTTCTAATGCTCTGGCTTTTGGCCTGCAGGATGTGCAGGAGTTGAGTTACCACTTTTTACAGCCTAAACCACGCAAAACACACATAGATGAACTCGACATGGGTTGCTCTTTTGGCTCAGACCTACACACCTATATATGAGCCCATATATACATGCGCATATATGTATATGCGGATATACATATATCGCATATATAGAATGTGTTTTCTGGCTGTTTGTTTTCTAGGGGGTGCATCCATTGCTTGCGCTCAAACAAATCAAATTGTAACGGTTTAATTAGTTAGTTGTACAATACATAATTGTTGTTGTTCTTTTTTTTTTTTTGTTTTTTTGCACGGGGGTGTTTTCTGGGGGGGTGGTGGTGGCGGCGATACGTTTATTTCTTTTATTTTTTCAAAAACTAAAAGCTGTTCATGTGTGGGTGAGAGAGAACGTGTGATCTAAACGACAATGTTGGATGTCTGTGTGTGCTTTGGTGTGTTATTTTGTATGGTTGACTTTTTGGTTTTTTGATCTTTTTGGTTTTCCAGTTTCCAGTTTCGAACTTGGACCATCAAATATAAACTTGTGGCTTTGTATCTGTTTTGAATTCTGTTTGTTTTTTGGTATTTTGGTTTTGGTTTTTCGTTTAAGACAGTTAGAAAGCTTTTTAGAATAGACATTTATGGAAATATATATTTAGCATGCTCTCAAAAATTATTTGAACGCTTAACCGAGGGGGGAAGAAGTGGGGGTTTTATCAAATAAGTGCATTTTTGATAATTAATTTATTTTTTCATTGGTGTGGTTTGTCTTGAGGGGGTTTGCTTTGTTTGGTTCCGGTTTTGTTTATTTTATTTTTAATTTTTATATTTATGGAAAAACAATCGGTTTTGCTAAACAAAACTTACATAGCTCAATAAACAAAATCAATATATATATGGTTTCTGTTTTTATATATAGAGATAGAGAGGTTGAATATATAGAGTACAATATATATAGAGAGTGGGTTAGATAGACAGTCAGATAGAGACAGAGACATAGATAGTTAGACAGCGAGACAGAGATAGAGAGAGAGAGAGAGATAGAGAGGCAGTGATAGAGATCGGTTGTGGCTGCTTGGCAGGATAGTGAGCAAGGCAAAAAATAGATGGGCGGATTTTTTAAAAAAATTTTAATAGTTTCTGGTGTTGAGGTGGGGAGGTGTGCAATTACGGTAGTTCTGCTATGGTTTTCGGGGTCCACTTGCATAATGCTACGCAATACCTATAGATATTTTGGAATGTATCTGTGCGTGTCTATGGTGTATCTGTAGCTGGCTTTGTGTGGGTGGCAGGGGGATTAAAGTTTAAGTTTCTGTTTAAGTTTGCGTGCTGCACCCTGTGTTCAGTGAACAAACATTTGACATTCATTTCTTCATCAAGTTTTCTTTTTGGACAGATAGAGATAGCGACAGACAGTGAGTGACATTAAGAGAGGGACGGAGATAGAGAGATAGAGAGAGTGAGATAGAGAGGGGAGGGGGATAGATAGCGACAAAGACAGAAAGAGATAGTGAGGTTTTGTGTTGCTGGGTGTGGGTTATGGTTATGGTTTTGGCTTGGGTTTGGGTTCGGGTGTGTGAGAGAGAGAGCCAATGCGTAATGCGTACAGTTCTTTAGTGGTTTTGCCCCGCCCCCGCCCACCAATTCGTTTGCATATGCATATGTGGTGCTCGGCTGAACACAGAGAGCGAGACAGATAGATAGAGAGAGATAGAATTTTCAGTTGATATGCATTCTGGCACTTTTCTTTGATATTTTTTTTGTTTTTTTTTTTACTTTTTTTTTGGGTTGTTTCATTTCTAATTGCAAGAAACAATCAGAGCTTTAACTATGCAAATTGTAATAACTTGAAGTTAATGTTCAAAAGACATCAAAAACTAAATACGGTTACGATTACGATACGATACGGTACGATTCAAAATGAATATTCAAACAAACCGAAAAGGAAACCAAATGAAAGTGAAACGAAATGATGCGCAAAAATCGCATTTCGTATGCACTTAAAGGGAGATTTCGGGTGAATGTATAATGTATGTGTGATGTGTTGTGTCTCTGTGACTGCATGTTTCTCTGTGAGGATAATAACAACGATAACAACAACGTCAACGAAATGACTGAGCTTGGTTTGGTGTTGCCTCTGTTTTTTTCTTCTTTTGCCCGCAGTGGCCTTCATGCGATTTACACAAAAACCGAACAAAACTCAAATGGAACACCAGAATGCTGGCGGATTTCGCAGATATGCAAAAAAAAAAAAAGATATTACAAAAAAAATGAAGAAGGGGATACAGAACTCAATGAAACTTTTGACTCTGGTGTTCTGGTATACGTGTACTGTGTGTCTGTGTGAGTGAGTTTGCTCCACGTGACGTCAGCAAGATGGTGGAAAAAGCCAGCGGATTGAAATCGAACCAGTCGCCATTATTTCTATCTTAAATTCACTTTGCCTGGCATCGCAATTTTTCACTCTACTTTATACTTTATGTTGGGCGCTCGTTTTTTCCATATTTCATTTAAGTCTGCCAAGTGAACAATGAAATACAGGTATGTATATACCAGGGGAAAATGAAAAATGTGGACGCTGGGATAAAGATCATGTAAGTGAACTAAAGGCAGCATCTTTTGCCGGCGCTGCATACAAAAAAAAAAACAAGAAAAATTCCCAAAAATAAATGGAGCGAGCCGTGTATCTTGATGAGACTCTTGTGTATCTGTGTGGTGTGGTGTGATTCAAGTGTGGGTGTGTATGCCATTTTTTAATGTGTACCTGTGAGCAAGGTGAGGCTGGCAGTTAGTGAGTGAATGTGTGTGTGTGTGTGTGTGAGTAGTGGCAGTGTGGTTGAGTGCACACCAATGGCAATAATAATAAAAATCTGCAACATTGTTCAACTTCAATACGACAACAAGTACGATACAAAATGTTTAAAATATATAAGTTATATATAGGATATACAACAAGACTACCAACAACAACAACAACGAGAGAGTAGAGAGAGCAATTGAATGTAGGTGGGGTGTAAGATTTTTTTAACGTGTAAGTGTATGGCAGTGGCATTGGCCTTTTTTCAATTTTTGTTAATTATAACTTAATATACCAAAAATGTATACAAAAAAACCCCATTTAGCCTACGCTAAATTACGCTGGAAATAGTATAATTTTTTTCCAAAAAAGGGAAAATAATTAAATTAAACCATCAATGCTTTAAACTAAAAATACTGTTGGTGGGGAAAGACTTGTTTCAGTTTTTCTTGAGAATGCTTTTTTGTGGTAAGTAGGTTTTTTAGCTGGGAAGTGGAGATAGATACGTTAATAGATACAGATAGCAATAGACATAGATATACGTGTACATAGAGAGCAGGAAGATACATAGACAGAGATAGAGATAGACAGAGATAGAGGGGGAGTCATAGAAAGGCTGCAGCAGGAAGAAATACAGTTTCTCAGGAAGAAATCCAACACAAAAAATAGAAAAAAAATAGAAATGAAGAAAGAACGAAAGACGTACAAGAAAATAGAAACCAAAAGTAAACACCGTGACATGCGAAGACAACAGCAACAACAGCAATAATAACAACAAGAACCAGCAAAAAAGGGAGGAAAGTCAAAGAAAGAGAAACGAAGAAACAGAAGACAACGTTGCGTATGCGTAATTCACGCTCCAGTTGCGTATCCTGTATCGGTGTGTTTGTGTGTGTTTGGGAGGCTGTTAGTGTGTGTGTCTGTGTCATGGTGTGCTTGTGTGGGTGCCCTGTCAGCAGAATCAACACAACAACTCTGATTCCGGCAATGTTCATCCGAGCTTCACTTGCGGATTCCGCCAACATAGCCCCAAAAACTCGGTATGTCCGTGTCTCGTCTCTGTGTTGGTGTGTATCTGCACCTGAGTCTTGCTGTGTGTGTGTGTGTTGTATCTTCTTTTGTGGACTGGTAACACGAAAAGGAAAATGCAACCAAAAAATTGTTGTTAACAAACGTGTTGGCTGGAATAACTTGTGGCAAAGCTAAAAGTTTAATTGGTTTCTGCTTTACTTGGCATCGTTTTAACTTGTCGTATGTGTGTGGGGGACTTTTTGAAGTACATAAACAAAAAATTTGCATTTGCATTGCCATTGCATTGCCCACGGGCAGCAGCAACGCTTGTTACAATAAAAACAACAACAACATCGAGGGAGGCAGTTGGCAATTGTAGCATCTGCCACGGTCGGTCTCATCCACCGGAACTTACCTCCTGGGGTGGCACATCGTAGGTGCGGGTTCGCAAGTCCACGCGGGCGTACGAGTCGATGCAGGGTAGGATGAAGAAGATACCTGTAATTACGGCCAAGATGCATTATACGCTCGTTATGTCAGTAAGCTAAGGTAACACTAACAAGCAGGTATTTTGGTTTAAACTCCTTTTTTTTTTAAATATTTTTCTACAAATTTTTAATATTTTTGAAGAAAATATAACCTTAATAAACTTTATATCTCGAATAGTGTAATTTTTATTTTTTTAAATCTTCTTTCTTATTTTCTGTCATTTTTTAAATGCCATGTAGTCTAGTGTCTTAGCTGTGCAGAAGTTCGCCTCGATTTGCCTAATCTCTTCCTCTCCCGGAATGGGAGCACAAAACCAGAGCACACCGACAGAGGACCACCGCCCCAGAGTCGCTAATTTGGAGCAAGTGCAGCAATTAACACAAATTCTTGTCGCCAGCGAGCGGCACTAAAATTTGCATAGAATCGTTCCTAGACCACCTGCTCCCCCACCCGCAAAGCTGCTCGCTCACCTGTTCACCTGCAATGAGTACTCACCTGGGCCCTTGGCACCGCCCTGCATGAGGCGACCCAAACGGAAGATAACCGCACGCTCGTACTCCTGCACCACCTGAAAAATGTGGCAGGTGAGTGAGATGTTCATGAAATGAAATTGAATCTTTGTAGAAACGTAAAAGGTGCCAAAAATGAAAGCTCTCCCCAAAGGGATATATTTTATTTCAAATATAAAATATAATAAAGGTATCATATATATAAAAACTTGTTATATATTTATTGTATGTTCTTACCTTGAAGCATACGAAGAGACTGAAGGGTAATGTGAGTATCACAAGCGCCACGGATAGAAATATTAGCAATTTGCCGCATGTTGAAGCCTTATCGCTGATTTCCTCGTCCGCTGCGAGAGAACGTGGCGAGAAAACGAGAAATTACTTATAAATACATATAGCGTGGCAGGATGGAATCAAGTGCTCAAAGCAAATGCTGCAAATTAAGGCTTAAGCTATAAATTCGTTCGTATTTTCTGTGCTTTCCATTCCGCTCACTTCTGTTGGAAAGTCTGTTACATGAATAATGCGTTGAGCGTGGGCTTTGGCACCAAAAAAAAAAAAAATTGTGAAAGAAAGAAAAGGCAAGAAAATATCCAAAAAATACTTAAACGAAAGACTCGGCTTGGCGCATACAAAAATCGCAGACAGAATCTTGAAAGAGGAAAAAAAAGGCAGCGAAGAAATGACAAAAAGCATTCTTCATTACGAGTAGTCGTTTTTCTTAAAGTTAAGCCAAAAATTTAAGTTTTGCATGGTACGGGGGCAACAAGTCGCCCATTTTGTGTTGCTTATTGATACTTGAGACGCGCCATCATTTCGATGGGCACTCGTCGCCTCGTAAAAGTCAAAATGATGTTCCTCTGGGGAGCATGGAAAAATCTGTAGCATACTTAGTCGGGCCCGCCGCAAAAAATGTACGGGCCACTACAATCGAAATTCAAGCAAACGAGGAGTATATTGTGCATATTAAAATTATATATCTTGGCAAATATTCACTTTATTCGTAATACATTAAGAAAATATTAATAATAATTAGCAGAATGTGTGACTGTATTGGTTTCTTTTTGAATCGGATGCGATTTTGACTGGAGAATGTATGGGGGTATTTTATTTGGTGTTTTGGTTCGGGTTTTTCCAAATTGGTGCGACTTACAATAGAGAAATCCATGTGAATGTTTTGCTTGTGTATCTGCAAGAATACGATAAATCGAATAACAAGAGAGAAATTAATCGGGGAATGCTTTTCGGGTCAATCAGCAGCTAGCCAATTCGTGTGGGTTGCTGGGATAAACTTTGGTGTTGGTTGTTAGGGTCCTGATCGTCCCAGAATTGACTGTTCCATGCCACACATGCAGTGTTCTAGTTTTTGTAGTTTCATTATTCTTTTTTGCGTTAATTTGTTGTTTAGGCTCAGGGTTAATTGCATGCTTGAACAAACTACGAAACTGAAACTAACTACAACCGAAGGAAAATCATAAATTATTCATGCCACACATTTAAATGCTGTTTACTCGCTGCTACGATGGCTGTTGCCGTTTGTTTGCCTTCTGGTTGCTGGCTGTCGGTTTTTGGTTTCCAGTTTCTGGTATCCCAGCTGCAGCTGCTGGCAATTAGCGGCACAGTTTGCATTTCAGTTTCAATTACAGTTCATTGAAAAGTTGCCACAATGCCAACACCCAGCAACGGCGACGTCAGCAAAGTGTTTTTAACGAGCTCTCATCCACCCGCCCAGAACGCATACACACACACCCACCCATACACCAAACGCCAAAACACCCATACATCCAAATACTCTGGCACACTCACAGACAAAACATGAAAAGCGACACTGGAAAAAGGAAAACTTTGATGGGCGAATCTGCGGAGAAAAGCGACCGGCTGGCTAAGCCAACAAGCTGCCAAACATTCGAGCCATCCATTTCCACCTTTCCCCCTTCGCTTTCTCCTTTCTCCTTGCTCCAGTCTCCTTTCTCCTTCCACCTGCCACCGCATCGCAGAAAACTTTTATTGAAATTGATTTCGAAATAATTGCGATTTGAATGCCAGTGCCAGGCGTAGGAGATGAAAGGCTTTCTGGATTTGTGTGTAACGCCTGAGGCTGGTGACCGCAGTCCTAATAGATTTATCCCTAAATTGATTTTCCAAAAAAATGTTTTTAAAAAAGGAGACAGGCCAATTCGAAGGACATTTCAAAAAAGGATATTTTCTTTCAAAAGGTAATTAGGTAAATGGGTGGGCTTCAAACGTTAATCACAGCTACTTAAGATGGCTTTTAAATGGATTGTAATTGATTTCTGCACTGTCTATTTTTAATAATAGTAATTATTATGAAATTAAGAAAGGAGGTTGCTAAAATACTTTTTTTTTTTAGTAGTTATACATATCTTCTATGTAACTTAATAAGGATTCAGATAAGCTAACGCAGGAAAGGGTTTATTCTAACTTAAATTTTTGATAAGACTATAAAATTCCTAAGGGCTATTATATTTTATAATCTTAACATAAATATATAAACAGATATGCTCCTTATCTCCTTTTACATTTAAAAACCTGTATATTACGTATACGCACTGTATTAAAAAAAACTGTATACACATTTCTGTGTTGTTTCAGACACCACACTCTGAACAAATAGGTTTAATTTTGCGCTGCAAATTTTTAGTTAAATATCTGGCAATTGATTACAAATAAATATTTGAGAAGAGCTCTGTAAACAGTGGCTATTTGCCCCCCATTTCGACTGCGGGTCATATTATTTTTGTTATTCCTCTAGTGCTGGCCCCGAAAAAAGTGCTGAATTTACCTTAATGTACAATCTCGGCGAACAATGTGTGGTCATAATTTTTTAATGACCAGCCAACGGCTATCCAACTGCTCTCTCTCTTGGACTCGTTCTGTTCAACACTCCGCCCCCACCCACTCACCCACTCAACCGCCCCAACCAAGCGCCCACTTGGCCCCCGTTCCCGCCAGTCCCCGCACCACATCAACGCATACGTCAGAGCCAGCCCCTGGCAAAAAGCTTTGCTCGGAAAATGGGTCAGCTTGTTGTTGTTGGTGTTGGTATTGCTGTTGCTGATGGTCCTGGTGTTGCTGTTGTTATACGAGTCTGAGTTAAAGTAATTTCTGATTGAATTTTGCATGGGAAATGCGCAAGGAAAGGCTGTTGGCCTCAACACTTCTCCAGACTCCCTTTGTCGGGCCTAATGAAGCGATTAGCATGCATATGAGATGGCCAACGGCCAGGGCTCAGCTAAGTAATACACATTTACACGGTGGATATAAAAAAACATCATTCAAAATAGTATGAACAGCATCAGTACATCAGTACGGCTAACACGGCTATGTACAGAGGCCTAGGCTAGCTAGTCTATCCTAAGGCTAATGAATACGGCTCCGATCTTTGGAGACCAAGCAACAAGTTCAGCCAGCAAACAGTAGAAACTCGGTAATGTGCAACCTCACCTCTTCGCGCCTCGGCTCGGTGGATGGCCTGCTGCTGCTGCGATTGTTGCATCAACGCATGATGGCTGTGGGGCAGTTGTTGTGGTGGCAGTGACTGTGGTTGCTGCTGCTGCTGCTGCGGCTGCTGGTGTTGCTGTTGGTGTTGGTGGTGGTGTTCCCTTTCGCGCAACTGTGGTTGCTGCAACTGCGGCAGCTGCTGCTGCTGCTGCTGTGGTGGCGGCTGCTGCTGCTGGTGCAGCTGTATGGATGCAGTCACGGGCAGTGGCGAGGAAGCTGCATTCGTCTGATGGTGATGCAGGTGGTGGTCCCGTTCCCGTTCCCTGTGATCGCTGGCCGCCGCCGAGGGACTCCCCGCCGGGGCCGGTGGTGCAAATGTGCTGGTGCTGGCCGAGAGGCGGCCCGGCTGGTGGTGCGACGGCTGCTGGCGGTGCAGCTGGTGGTCCCGATGCTCCATGTCCATCATCGAGTCGGGCATCAAGCCGCGCTCACAAAACGACGCCAGTGCGGCGGCTGTTCCTGGCTGCTCCTGGTCAATCAGATTGGGTTCCTTAAGGATGTTAGTCCCTTTTTTTCAGCTCGACTTGGCTCGGCTCGGCTTGGTTTGGATTGGTTTGGTTTTGCTTGGTTTGGTCAGTCTTGCATTTGAACACACTAGGCTAGTCTACTGGCCATCGCACTGGCTACTTTTTCTTTCTTTTTTTCTTCTTCTCACTAACACACACACACTAGCACATGTATACAGTTCTCACTTTGCGGTGAGCTAGTTTTCCTTCGGTTATCCTTTTCCAGCTCCTGGTTCTGCCGCTGCCGCTGTCGCTGCCACTGCTCCTGTTCCTATTCCTGTTCTAGCTCCTCGTCTTAGCTGCTGCTGTTGCTGCTGGTGCCTCGCTCAGAATCCAACTGAAAGTGCGCCAGCAGCGAGCATCCTTTATATACTTGCCAGCTAAAGCTCGGCAGTGAGAGGGCCCACAACTTTGTTATCATCAGTGTTTAGTGTCGGGCATTTAACGAGCGACGATCAAAGAGCTTTCGCTCTATGTTGCAGGTTGCAGGCTCACCGACTTGCAACGCCAGCAGCAGCGACAGCAGCAACTAAGAGAATCCCGTCCCGAGTTGCAATCATGCCCCTGGCAGCTTTCACCTTTTCCAGCTTGCACTGACCTTGCGCACTCCCCGAAACATTGGGTCCCGGCTTGAACTTCAGGAACGAAGCTTTCCCTTCCGCGGAGCTTTCCACATTTTCCGGAAGGGGAAATGCGCAACAGAGACGGAGAGAGTTTCTATTTTTAGTTCGCCGGAGAAAGGTTCTAAATTCGAAAGGACCTGCTGAGTTCCCCTCCAGAGCCGAGCTCTCGTGTGTGTACAGGTGACAAACCTAATTTATGACACCTTCGACGCTGTTGATGCCACTGCCATGCCACACACCTGGCCGCATACCACACTTCCCGTTCGACGAGCCATTGTAGTCAGACTGGAGTGCTTTCTGTGTTTGTTAACTGGCATGGAATGATATGAGCACCCGGCTGCCAGGCAGCATCCTCTATTCTCCGTTCTCCATTCCCCATCCTCCATCCTCCATTCTGGTGCCCAAACACAAACACATCCTGACTGCCCTGCCACGCTTGGTTGCGAATTTCTAATGAACCCACCTGCAAAGCCTGTCGAACTGTCGCATATTTTAGGTCACATGCAGCTCCTGAGCTTTGCTTTGAGCTGTCAATTACCGTTTACGCTTCATTAAGCACCACGAAATCAAGTCGGGGGTGAATTGGAGATACAGGTGGAAAAAATCTCAGCCCAAACAAGTCAGATAAAGGGGGTTTATTCTGATATTATTGAGGATGTTTGCTTGATGAGCCATCTCTAAAATTTTGAAATTTAAGACAGACAAGTCTTGAGTTTCAATTTTAAACTTAAATCTTTATTTAAATTTCAATCAAGACCTAATTCTGTTTCTCAGAGTGTATAAAAAAGGATGAATAGAATGGCGAATGGTGGCAGTCCCCGAGGCACAGGACGCAGCAAGTAGCGGGCATCCGATATGCCGTGTCAGCTGTCGCACCACAGTGCGTATGAGTGTCATTATGTTTGACATTCATTCACAACACTCCACAAAGGAGCTCTCAACTTTGAAGCGAACCTATACCTATACGTACTGGATTACTGGCAGGCCAGCTAATTAATCTCGGCTGCTTGATTAATATACCGATTGATTTGGGTATTGCCATAAATTCCCATTCAGAGACAAATGGGGCACTCGAGCCCCGAGTCTAGGTGCTTTATTGCGAAGCAATCGGAGTGGCCTGGCACCCCATGTGATTATCCGGCTGCCACACGTGCCGTAATTTAGCACCAGATTGTGTTTGCCCAAATAAAGAGAATCCTCGAGAGACCTGGCCTTATATTAAAGGTTAAATATCATTCTTGTGAGTAAATATTAATTGATTACTATCTCCTTTTAGTCTAACTCATTTTATTATTTGGCTTGCTGACGCAAATGGCAACTGCATGGAAATAAAGAAGAAATAAATCAGACTTCTCAAACGGAATATCGTAGGAGAAAATTGCTTAACCACTTCCATTTTTAGAAGCTTGACTGAAACATTCAAAGAGAATTTCGTAGCAGCCATTGTGCCGAAGACAAGACAAGACTGCCTAACCACAACCGGATGCCAGTTAAGTGAGGCCCGGCCCGGCCGGGGTCCGCCCCAAGCTTTTATTTTGCCATACGCAGTTTTTATAGACAAACATAAAAACAGAGGGATACCATTTTGCCTATCGACAGGCCGGAGATGGCTCGGCCGAAAGACAAAGCCGCAAAAACCATAAACACGATTTGTCCTTGCCGGGCCGAGGGGCAAAAAGGATTTTTGTGCAGAATCCTGACAGAATTGCGAAGCGAAGACGAGCGAATGATGTCACAGGCAGGCCAACGACTTTTTTTTGCGGCCTCCAGTTAGGGGTGGCACTAGGATATTTCAGGACATCCTTAACACAAAAATAGACTTCCTTGGTTTTAATATTTGTCTTCTAATTTATTTACATACAAGTCTTTAACCCGACTTCCTTGAATTTTTAATCGGTAGTCTGTAGTCTGCTTTTCGTGCACATCCCTGGCCCAGGACTTTGAACCGAAAGTCCTGCGGGCCTGTGTGTGCGAAATTAGCCAGGCAAATATGTCGCACTTAACTGCAAACGGAAGTGTAGCACCACGTGCAGAAAGGGGGCGGATGGTGGCAGGCGGCTAACACAATGGCCCCTACAATTGCCGAGGCCTGCGGCAAGGGGTCAGATGCCGGAGACGGCTGTCCTTATCTCGTCCCCTCCGTGTTTCCGCCCCTCGCCCGCCGCAGCCCTTACTCACACAATTGTTGACGTTTGCGCTTTTCCGGCCGGGAAGCCGGGCGAGTCTGTGGGAGGGGGTGTTTGTGACACAAATGCGTCGAATTATTGTCATATGAGGTCACTGTCCCTGTCGCGCAGTGAAAGTTTCCCTTTTCCGACAAACTCAACCGAACAAACATGCCGAAGCCGAGCCAGAAGCCGGAGCTTTGTTTGTTTGGCCCGCTGGCCTCTCTATTACAAGGACCAAAAGTTAAGCAAAGTTTGCTCGAACATTGCCACAAGTACAACTAGTAGTGCGTTGTATCTGCGGCTTGTTGCAACTTCCAGCTAACAGGCCCACACTGTGGCATGGTGCGTTTTTGTTTCACTCTGGAGCTCGGAATCAATTTGGCAAGAGACTTACTGAAGACCAGAGCTCCGTAGCCATATATTCGTTAGCCTTATTATGGCCGATCGGCTGGCTGTTCCCTTTTCGCTCATAAAATATGAATGGCCAGGCAGGAGGCCCGAACGGGGAGCTGAATGAAATATGCCAGTTTGGTTTATGAAACTGATTGGGCCCCGAGTCGCGTTTCCTCCCCCGATATGGCCTCTCCCGCTCAACGTTCGCGTTAAAGTTGCTGAAACTTTTGGTAAAAAGTACCTCAGGCAATGGTAGATACTTTTTGGTGTACACTAGGAAATAGTGAATAAAGGCACAAAAGATTCTTAAAAATAGATTTTTTAGATTTTTATAAACAACTACTTATAGAAACCTGCAAACTATTAGAGAAAATATTTAAAAGGCATGTACATGTACATGACATGTAAATAAAGGTTATTAGTTTTAAATAATTATATAGTTGGAAGATGTTGTCCTTTAATAATATAGGTTATGTTTTTATTAATAAAGATAACGTTAAATGATAGAATACACAACCTTTAAGCTCTTTTTCTATTTAACCAAAAAACTCAAACAATTATTTCTCTCTCTGAAGCCATCATGCTAATTTGCAGCAAACTTTAAGCTCCCCAATCAATGGCCTTCATTAGTTTGGGATATTCATCTCTGGCAGGCGACTTGCTAAGTAGACCGACTGTCAGGCAGGACTATCACCCAATCAATAATTCATAACCACACATTGACGACGCATTCGCATTCCCTGGCAATAAAATGAAAAGCGAAATGAAAAACTGCCCGACCAAATGCTTGCCAATAATTCAACGCTGGTTCAGTTCAGGGTCCCCTGCCTTTGCTTTTGTTGCTTTTCATGCTTTTGTTGCTCTTGCTTCCTGGCCTGACTTTATCAATGGTGAATCGCACTATGGTTCCCTCTTTGGCCCACAACCCCACGATGAATGAATGCCAAGCGGCGCCGAGCCTCGATGTCGATTTCGCTGTCGCCCGCCGAGTGTCGGACATTTCGTCCTTTTCCCTTGTTCTGCTCGCTGCTGGTGACATGAAAGGGTATGTTGTGTTTTCATAAAAATGTTCAAGTGCTTTTATTGACACATGTGAGTAAATATTGTATAATCCGAACCTGAATTATTTGTTTTGTTTCTATGTTAAAAATGTAAGACAAACTATAGGTGCCAGCAAACAATAATGAAATGGTTACCAAACTAAAAGCTTACTAGTTTATAAATTATTTTAGACTAAATATTATATAGACTTAATCAATTTAATTGAAATAGATTTAGTTTTTTTTTATATATATAATTTTAGGAAAGGAGGGTAAAGTCACCCTGAAGTAGTACAAATAGCTTCTATCATATAGTACCGGGTATCATATAGTTGAATCTTTTCAATTGAATCTCTGATTCTTGTTTTCTTTACATTTTTTTTTTTGCCATTTTTCCCTTTTAGCTGGCGGTTTGCTCATTTTTCCTCCGGCCGTTTCCTTTCATTCTTTGGTTTATTTTTGGTGACTGCCAAGTATCTTTTTGGTTGCTTTTTCCAGGCTCTCTCCCGATAATGTCGCAGCTCTGTCCCGGCGAGGCATGAAATATTGATGTCGCCTTCTATATGGGTGTCTGTATTCTCGGATTCGTCGTCCTGTTCGCTGTGCCCAGCATATTAAGCGTTCACATAAAGTTTATTATATAGACATATGCTCTGCGGGGCCAACGTCATGCAGCACTTTATTATAATTGATTTTTTTTGCTTTTTGGTAGCGGCAGCGGTGGTTCCACTTTGCACATTGAATTTAATCATGAAAGGGAGCTGGGCCACGTTTTTAATGCAGTTCCTTAACCCAAAGGAGCCTTTTGCTCCACTTTCCAGTCATTACCGCCTGTTTACATGCTGATTTCGATAAGCACAGCGAGTTACCCGGTTTTGAGTCATAATTAATAATTTTAAAAGGTCCCTTTTTTATGAAACTTTTTTAGAATTATATGCACATAAAAAAATTACTTTTGGAAAGGTTTGAATGGGTTTTCGGGATTTGGTTTCTAACTTTGTTATTAAAACTAAATCCCAGTAGCCAAATAAAATTGTAAATATTGTGTTTATGAAAATCCTGCCACCAGAGAACAAGTTTTATTTATCAAATTCCAATATGCATTTGTAATTCCATTAAACACTTGAAAATGTGCATTTATAATGCCAAACGCGCTTTTGTTTTTGCCACAGTGTGGCGACACGCGGTGGCCTCTGCTGATGTCAGCTACTGCTGAGCTAACCGCTCCGAGAATTAATTAAAGCCCACATTGTTTGGCCAGAGCAGGACAGAGCCGAACAGAACAGAACTGAGCTGAACACAGCGCGATCAAAGTGCGAGCAAGGATAAACAATGCAGTTGTTGGGTCACAAGGACGGGCCACACGCAAAAACGGATAAAGA